ACATGTTTAATTAGTTAAAAGCTACTAAGGAGAATGTTAAAAAAAATAATGTTTTCAATGTAATAAAGACTTTCAAATCAAGTTTAAAGTTGCATAAAAATTAGCTGCAAAACTAACAAGGTGCCATTGTGTTAGACTGATGTCTGTTTACAAATGTGCCAATTAAAAGAATTGCACCCAATTTATTCTATAACTCTAAATATTTCCTGTTGGGTTTATATTTAGAGGACTAAATTTTTAAAGCAAAGTCTTAACTAGCTTGTGAAGCGTCGAGGTTGCTGCTTACAGTAAAATTGCTGTTTTGAATTGAGATGACGGCTTTAAAATGATGGGCTGTGATCTCGTGCGTTTCTCAACATGACCTTTGAGACAAGCCATTTATCAGAAGCCTGAACTATCACATAGGCCATAAAGATCATCGGTACTTAACTTTATAAATATTGGTCAGCTTTTTAATCAACATTTTTCAATAAACTATAAATTGCACAAACGAAAAGGTATTATAAACAACACAAAACCTCACAGTTTTTGCACGTTGGTGTTTCTGCCTGCTTTATAAAAAGCGGTGACATCCATGAGGACAAATGAAAACGTTAAAACACCCACATACTCAAGTTGAATAGTATTGTTTAACCAAGATAAAAAGTGTAGAAATACTGTAGGTTTGCATATATTAGTATAAATGCTTCGTGCATCATAAAGTCAAACGAGGAGAAAGCCTACGCTTAATGATTCTGGAGAAAAAAGGTCCTCTCACCTGTATTCCTCCTTAAATACACACGATTGAAACATGGTAGTTGCTTACCTTCCACTCTGAATGTAAAGAAGTGTTCATTTTATCCTGCAGTGTTGACTAAAGTGCAGTAAATCAAATGTGATCACTTTCTTTCATTTCTGCTCTCAGAACAGATCCACTGCCCATAAACAACAAAATACAAAGCTGGAGTTTGGTACCAAAACCACAAAAAACAACGCTCCACTCTTCTTTATCAATAATAAAATAATAACAGAAAAAAATAGATGAATACAAATTGTAGGAGTCCCAATGTCTGCAGCCTTCCTCCAAGATGGCCGTTAAT